TTCACCATGTTAGCCAGGATGGTCTCGATCTCCCGACCTCGTGATCCGCCCGTCTCGGCCTCCCAAAGTGCTGGGATTACAGGCTTGAGCCACCGTGCCCGGCCAAATCTTCTAAGCTACTTTTCCAGCGAGTTGGGGGGAAAAAAAGTATTTGATTAAGAATCACCATAGAGATGTCCGATCTCAAGGCTCTAGTTGTTAAATAGATAAGCTTAAACAAAAACAAACTCCACAGTTTGAAAATTAAAGCAGTCAAGGTGTTTTTCTCAGTACAAATCAACACTACTGATGACATTCTCCTTAGTGAGAGTCTCCTTTGGAAATCGCTTCTCCTTCCCACCAGCATATGAAGGCCCAGTCTTGCAGCCACTGTTTCTCTTGATCTGTACTCCACTAACTGCCCAAGTCACACAGGTAATTAATTAATAGAGCTGGGATTCGAACCTGGGCCGTCTGGCTCCTGAGTCAATGGTCTTAACCCCTGTGCTGCGCTGTGTCAGGGTAGGAGTCTTAGATCATCACATCTATAAGTTGACATTATCTGATGGTGTCACTGATGATAGACAGCATGAGCCATGTTCTAGTATAAGCCTATAGTTATATTTCTAGTGCAGAATATCAGCAGCACAGGATTTTAGAGCACAAAGGGAGATTGAGTTGCCGAGGAAGGCCTTCTGAAGATGTCATGTCTGCAGCTGCATCTTAAAGGCAGGAGATGTCAACAGGCACAGGGTAAGAGAAATGGCACTTCAGGAGGTGGGGAACATAAAGAGGAAATGCCTCTGTTCCAATGCCAGAAAAGACGCCCCACATGGGAGCTTACCCACATGCCAGGACACGGTCATTGGCCATTTGCCTTCCTGGTCACTGCGAAGGTTTGGGCTTACTTTTTTTTTTTTTTTTTTTTGGTGGAGTCTCGCTCTGTCACCCAGGCTGGAGTGAAGTGGCCGGATCTCAGCTCACTACAAGCTCCGCCTCCTGGGTTTACGCCATTCTCCTGCCTCAGCCTCCTGAGTAGCTGGGACTACAGGCGCCCGCCACCACGCCCGGCTAGTTTTTTGTATTTTTTTTAGTAGAGACGGGGTTTCACCGTGTTAGCCAGGATGGTCTCGATCTCCTGACCTCGTGATCCGCCCGTCTCGGCCTCCCAAAGTGCTGGGATTACAGGCTTGAGCCACCGCGCCCAGCCTGGGCTTACTTTTATAGAACTCGGCCCATAGTGCCTGTTACCCAGCCCTACCTCCACTTTTCTTTGTCACTCATCTTCCCCAAACAACCCTTTTCCTCTTTCTTTGCTCCTTAAAGATATCTTTTTCCTACACCTTCCCAGAGAAGAAAATAGATTTTTGAAATTGAAATAAAGCTAGGGAAAAAAAAAAAAAAAGCAGGTGGCCACAGATTTTCTCTAGTTTGCCTCCGTGTGACCAAGTGAGACCAACGGGTCCGTGCCAGCTTCTGAATGGGCCACAGACCTAAGTCTGGCAATTGTGCCAAACATTCATAATTCCTTCCTCAGTTAGAGAAGGGACACAGTAACCTTTTACTCTGTCAATTTCAATAGTTGAATGTCCTCCAGCTATAGGGCTGGTTTCCAGAGAAATGCTGGCTGAGAAGCAAAGGAGAGAAAATGGCAGGTGTGAGGCCAGAAGGTTCCCCGTAATGAGTAAGGATGGAAGTCAAGTTCACTGGGCAAGCCGCGACACTCACGTACCTCGTCTGGCGCAAGGGGATAGGTAGGGACACACACAGGAAAGGATCGAAGGTGTTGCTCTGTTTCAGGCAGTGGGGACAAGTCAAGGAAGATCTGTGAGGGTGAAGAACAGAGGCGAACGTTTAATCACACGTAAACGATTTGGCGGTACAATTCAATACAGAATTACCCTTGCATTTCCACTCCCAGTGATTCCACTCCTAGGTACATACCCAGAGGAATTGAAAACAGGTGTTCAAATACTTGTATACAAGTGTTCATAGCTGCTCCATTCACAATAGGTAAGATGGGAACAATCCAGCTATCCATCAACAGACAAATGGGTAACAGAATATGGTACATCCACATAGTGGGATACAACTCAGCCATAGAAAGGAATGAACCCCGGTCTGTACAACAACGTGGATGAACCTTGAAAACAGTAAGCTAAATGAAAGCAGCCAGGCATGAAAGGGCACATATTGCATGATCCCGCTTATATGAAGTATCTAGAACAGGTAATGCCATAGATACAGAAAGCAAATTGGTGGTTGCCAGGAGCTGAGGGAAGGGAGGATGAGGCTGACTGCTGACTGGGTACCAGGTTTTATTTTGGGGTGATGAAATGGTTAGGAACTAGGAGGTGGTAGGTGCACAACACTGTGAATGTACATGTCCCTGAATTGCATGCTTTAGAGTGTTTAACTTCATGTTACAGGACTTCCACCTCCATTTTTTGTAAAAAGGGAAAAGAAACTTTAGGACATATATAAATGAACTGACTATGAGAAGGAAAGCTATAACCCGTCCCTGCCATACAAACCCAGCATGCCAACTTCCAGGCTGAAGGGATCTCAGGGCCATCTCTTCCCCTGCTTCTCAGCCTCACTGTGCCCCAGAACCACAGGAAGCTTTTTAAAAAAATTCCAACGTCCAGGCCCCACTCCCAGAGATTCTGTTTCAAGGTGGGTAGAGAGGGGTCCGGACATCAAAATCTTTCTAAAATCCTGAGAGCTTTTAAGCTCCCCAAATGACCCCAGTGTTCACCCATAGTAGAGAACCACTGACACCACCCACCCTCCTTACTGTACAGAAGAAGAAACAACAGAAGTCACTCCTTAAAGTAATAACTAACATTGCAATAGCATTTACTAAGAATCGAGCATCATTCTGAGCACTGAGCATAGATGAACCCGTTTACCACCCATAGCAACTGATATTACGCCCATTGTACAGAAGAGAAACCTGAAGCACAGCGAGGTTAAGTAATCTGCTGAAGAACACACGGCTCTTAAGGAAGAAAGCTAGGCTCGGTTTCTCGAATCCATGCTCATATCACTCCTGTGTTCTTTAGTAGAAATCAGTGAGGTGTCAATTGGTTCAGAGTAGATATATATAATGTTCATTTATATTCTTTCAACTCTTTTAAACTTAATACTCCCTTACTTTAAAATGGAGCTCTGAAAATGAAATGCAACATTTTTTTTTTTTTTTTTTTTTTTTGAGACAGAGTCTCATGCTGTCACCCGGGCTGGAGTACAACGGCGTGATCTCAGCTCACTGCAACCTCTGCCTTTTGGATTCAAGCGATTCTCCCTACTCAGCCTCCTGAGTAGCTGGGATTACAGGTGCCCACCACCACGCCCAGCTAATTTTTTGTATTTTTTTCAGTAGAGATGGGGTTTCGCTATGTTGGTCAGGCTGGTCTCGAACTCCTGACCTCATGATCCACCCACCTCAGCCTCCCAAAGTGCTGGGATTATAGGCGTGAGCCACTGTGCCCAGGTGAAATGCAACTTTTATATTCCACATGTACGTACCAATTTTCTTTCTCCTATCATATGATGCAAGGGATTTCTCTGCATGCTACGTTACTAATTGTAAAAATCTACATTAACTTCTCTGAGGACACAGAACAAGACCGCCCTGGCAGTCTGACTCTGAAGTCCATACTCTTAGCACTGTATGACATTCCCGGGATAAGTCAGCAAGTAAAGCCAAAGCTGGTATCAGAACAGGTTTCCTGAGTCCTTGTGGAAAGTGCCCGTCTTGTTTGATTGGTTTTCCACTGAGCAGACAAATAGGAAAATCCAGGGACAAACAGGAACATAAAGGGGAGGGTGCCGCCTGAGGCACTCCTGGGTGATCTGTCCATTACAAGTCAGTTATCTTGGATACAACTTATCAGACCATCACCCTGATTACAGAAAACAGGCCCCGGTACTGGACATTCCATCGCCCCTGCTGCCTCAGGTCATTTGCCTTTGGGAGACCCATGGTAGTTAGTGTTTTTGTTGAAAGCACTGTATCCGACAGTGAGCGCCAGCTAGCCAGAAACCCAACATTTCTGGGGTCTCCTCTGCCACTGCATCTCTCCTCCAATCCTTCTCCACCTCTGTCCATCACGTACCTAGGCAAAAATTGGCCTGAAGGAGATACTTGGGTCATTGGGAAATCCCCAAATTCCCATTTCACAAGTATATAAACCAATGAGAGAGAATGTTTTTCATTGACGTCTTCGTGTTTTTCAGCCTGCTAAAACTATGCCGGGTTGCATTCTTCTTGAAGCATTGCAACATATGAAACCAGTTCAGGAATATGACTTTTTACATTGAGCCACCAACTGCTATCTGCTAGCAAGCGATGAGTGGTTTGTAGAAAAACAAATAGAATGGGCAAATTTTATATTGAAAGAATGAAAATGGGCCGGGCACGGTGGTTCATGCCTGGAATCCCAGCACTTTGGGAGGCCGAGGCGGGCGATTGCCTGAGGTCAGGAGCTTGAGACCAACCTGGTCAATATGGTGAAACCCCATCTCTAGTAAAATTACAAAAATTAGCCAGACGTGGTGGCCAGTGCCTGTAATCCCAGCTACTTGGGAAGCTGAGGCAGGAGAATCGCTTGCACCCGGGAGGTGGAGGTTGCAGTTGCAGTGAGCTGAGATCGTGCCATTGCACTACAGCCTGGGCGACAAAAGCAAAACTCCGTCTCAAAAAAATAAAAATAAAATAAAATAAAGAATGAAAAAGTATAATGTTTTCATAAGAAACTATAGGAAAGATGTGAAATATACCCATGTATCAAAGGTTGAGAAATGAGGACAGACTGATGTGATCAACATCTGGAAGAAGATGGAGAGGCAGCTTCACTTTTACAAAAAGCTCTGGCCACGTTACCAGGCTACAGCAATATACCCCAATGTGGCCTGACGGATGCCTCCGTTCTCCCCATTCGCTCCAGGACATTCACAGTCCTGCTGTGCTGTCTTGCAAGCGCACTCACAGGGCAAAGGAACACAAAATCACCCCACTGCCTTTCAATGTTCACAGGCCCATTTCCCTAAGTTATTCATTCTCCTTGTCAAATTGCTTCTGTTACAAAGCTAACCCTGTCAGTGCTACTAAAACTCAGGGCTGCGGTTTGCTTTTCCACCTGCTACAAATGCCCACCAATGAGCCCTAGGCTTTGCCCCTGAATTTCTTGTCACTCTGCCCTTTAACTGCTGCCAAATACACACACATCTTTCACCTCAAACCCAGTCCACTTGACCTGCTCACTGGACAGTGGATCTGACGTCTACGCAAACAGCAATAATTATGCCAATACATAAGCAAGATCTCACCTTTCGGAGATCTGTTCTGAGGAAGCCTTCAAAAACATCCTTAGACTTTCTGCGGATAAAGGCTATGAAGGACGTGAAGAACTTGTGCACACACACACACACACAGACACACTCCTCCAGCCAAAACTCCAACATAGCCACAATCGTTGGTTGTTAGACTTGCAGACATTCTCAGACTGTGATGATAATCACATAGAATAACTAAATATCTTTGCTACAGTCCAGGATCTTCCACACTCTAGTACTGGAGGTTCCTCTTCTCTCCCTCAACCAAAGTCAACAACTCAGCCCCCTTAAAAGGGGTTTAAGGGACGATGCCTCTGAATTAACCCATAATAACACATCCGTCAATTACATCAAGAAGGCCGATGCCATCCCAGGCAAGCCCTCCCCAGGGAGAGGAAGCCAGGAGAGAGTCAGGGACAGCAGGAGCCGCCAGCCAGGCACTGCCACTACCGACCACTGCAGGAAACCACCTCACAGACCTCAAGGCATCCCTGACGGCACCTTGTCTTTATCAGCAGGCACAAAGCAGGCATTTTCAGCCACTGCCAGTTCATCTTTAGCGTGAACACCTCACCTCTTACTCATCGTGCTATAGGAAAAATACCCAAAGGGCACTGATGGTCCATAATATCCAATCAGCTCAAATGTCACTTCCTCGGAAGTCCTCCCCACCCCCGATTCATCCCACGCCAAGTCAGGCATGTACTTCAAAGCACCCTCGAGTGCTCCGAAGCACTCATCAGTTATAATCATAGAAAAACTCAAGAGTCACCGTAAATCCTAGATTCTCATCTCTCCCTTAGTCCCTCTACCCCTCACCACGTTAGCAAGACTGGGCTGAGGGGTTAGGGGTAGAGGGACTAATGGAAAGATGCTGACTCTCCATCCAAACACATACTCCAAACCCCTCCACTTCCCTCCATCTCTACCATCACCTCTGCCGTTCCAACCACCACTGCTCTCCCGCTGGGACCACAGTGGCAACACCAACTGTTGCTCCTGCCTCCTCTCGCCTCCCTGCATTGCTCATAAAAAGCAGTTGCCTCTGGGCCGGGTGCAGTGGCTCATGCCTGTAATCCCAGCACTTTGGGAGGCCGAGGCAGGTGTATCACTAGAGGTCAGGAGTTCGAGACCAGCCTGGCCAGCATGATGAAATCCCCATCTCTACTAAAAATACAAAAATGTGCTGGGCATGGTGGCACATGCCTGTAGTCCCAGCTACTTGGGAGGCCAAGGCAGGAGAATGGCTTGAACCCCGGAAGCAGGGGTTGCAATGAGCTGAGATCATGCTACTGCACTCTAGCCTGGGTGACAGCATGAGACTCTGTCTCAAAAAAAAAAAACAAAAACAAAAAAACCAGTCACTTCTGAAACTGATGAACTAGATCACTCCCTCCTTTAACTCTGCAGTGTCTTCCTGTGTCCTTGAGACTAAAACTTGGACTGAAAACCTGCCCTACCAGGTCCCCACCCAACTCTCCAGCCCATCTCCAGTGCATGCTTGTAATCCCAGCTACTCTATTCTTTGGCAGCTACCCTGGGCTTTCCATTCCTTGAACTTGCCAGGATTATTCCTACTTCTGGCTCTTAGCCTGTGCTGTGTCCTCTGCCTGGAATACTCTGTCCCCAGTTATTAAATGGTAGACTCCTTGTCACTCTGTTTTCAGCTCCACCATCCCTCCGATAAGAAACCTTCCCTGCCCGCCTTATGGAATGTTGGCCACTCCCCTGCCTCCCAAGTGACTCCTTATCTTTCTGCTGATGGCTGTCACAGGTTGTTGTTTACTTGTACATTATCTAACATTCCCCCAGGTAGAATGTGAGCTCCCTGAGAATGGACTGAATCTTGTTCACAGCACCTACAAGACAACCCAGCACACAGTAGGGCACGAATGAAATCTCTAAAGAATCCACAAGGATTCAGCCGGGAGTTCTCCTCCTCATGGTAACTGCTGGACCAAGCACATTAGCAGGCACTTGAATATTTGAAAGAAGGAAAAAGAGTATGGGGACGAGAGGGGAACTGAACAGAGAAATAGGTGAATGAATTGTACAAGGACACAGATGAATTTGACCTGCTGGCGATGATCGGTGATCCCTCCCCTCTCTCTAAGACGCCTTCACCTTATACTCCCCTTTCCCTCGTTCTAAATGTTTTCTTTCTCTTCCTCTATGCTTTTCCTCTGTCTCTTTATTTTTGGTTCTAGCACCCTCTGCATTGGGCACCTGAAGATAAGACAGATGCCCGGTTGGGCGCGGTGGCTCACCCCTGTAATCCCAACACTTTGGGAACCCGAGGCAGGTGGATCACAAGGTCAGGAGTTCGAGACCAGACTGACCAACATGGTGAAACCCCATCTCTAATGAAAATTAAAACAAAAAAAAAAAAAATCAGCCGGCGTGGTGGCGCACACCTGTAATCCCAGCTACTCAGGAGGCTGAGGCAGGAAAATCACTTGAACCCGGGAAGTGGAGGCTGCAGGGTGCCAAGATCATGCCATTGCACTCCAGCCTGGGCATCAGAGGGAGAGTCCGTCTCAAAAAAAAAAAAAAACCAAAAACAAAACAAACAAACAAACAAAAAAACAACAGATAAAACAGATGCCCTACAAGCGGCTTTCATGGCCAGTAGTTTTGAAGACTGGTGACCACAAAATCTAGGTTTCCTCTCTGCATACCTCCTCCTGGAGAGGAACCACATCCCTCAGGAAATGAGAAAGGCTTTCTTCAGGCATGACAGAGAAATCTGAGCTCAAGGGGTGCGATCCTCTTTACTCTGTACGTTAAACAATCGCAAACAGGAACGAAGAGCCCACAGTCACCCCGGCTGTTTCGTCAGGGTCCCCGTCCCTGGTGAGGCAGAGAGTGACAGAACTTATCAAGTGCTATGGATTTTTCTTCACCAGTGGAAGGCAGCTTAGTTTCAAAGACTATTTGGTCTTCCTAAATAATCAACCTCTAAAGACAGTAATTATAGCCTATTTATCTTTTCAGTGGTTATTGAATAGAATAGGAATCCTAAATCAGGATCGTTTCCGGGCAGTTTTAAGTGACCTCTTGCTGTGCAAACACAAAGAAGACACGTCCCCAGAAAGTATGGAAGTAAATGGCTCTAAGTAAGGAAATTCTAGAAGACGGAATAATTATTTCCTTGTTTGAAGATAAGTCAATAAGAGAAGAAAACCACTGGAGACCTCCAAGAAACCACTGCAGAGCAATGCAAAGGGAAGATTATCCAGACGACTCAGAGAAAAGCACGGCTTTGAAATGATTTACTGCAACATCCAGAAGAAAAATACAAAAAACTCTTTTTGGTATCCATAATAGAGAACAGAGTTTCTGTGAAACTGAAGGAGCAGCAGAGAATCACAATGAATGGACAGGGTTAGCTGGAAAAACAACAGAAGAATTGCGAAGAAAGCAAAAAGGCAGGACTTGTGCTTTAAAGATATTTCAGGGGACAAATCCTGGTTCTGCCACTCATCATATGTCCGTAGAAAAAGCCCAACCTCCCAGATGTTAATACTCACCCCCTGAGACTTTTTGTAAGGCTTAAAATATCTATAGACACACACACACAGATACATATACATGAATACATATATTGGCAACACACAGACACACACACACACACACACACACACACACACAGAGGCAAGCATCTTAGAGGTGGCTCTTTGTAACCAATGACTTCCTCATCTAAATCCTGCCTGCTGTGCTCATTCCCACCTTTAAGCTTGCATTTGTTCTTGTTGAGTATCTTCCTACCCATTCGTACTTCTACTCATCCTGCAGAGGCCAACAAAAGGCACACTTCCTCTGAGAAGCCCATGGGGTTTTCTCCCCTCTCTGACCTTTCACTGCTGCTGTCAGTGCTTTCACTGAACATTATAATATTGAAACTATTCTGCCTTGTATGAGTCTCTGCACTTTCATATAAAAAAAGCTCAAAGAGAACACATACTTTCTGAAGTCAAAGGCTGCATACGTTTTTTTATTGTTTGTTTATTTACTTATTTTTTTGAGACAGGGTCTCACTCTGTTGCCCAGGCTGGAGTACAGTGGTGCGATCACGGATCACTGTACTCCAGCCTCGATCACAGCCCCGACCTCCTGGGCCCAAGCAATCCTCCTTTCTCAGCCTCCCGAGTAGGTGGGACCACAGGCACGTGCCACACCCGGCTAGGATTTTTTTTTTTTTTTTTGGTACAGATGGGGTCTCCCTATGTGGCCCAGGCTGTATATATATTTTTATATCCTCCATAATGCTTGGAACTCTTGAGCTCAGAATGACTTGTTAAGTTGGGCTCTCTGGAGAGAGAACAAACAGGAAGGGTCTCCCCAACTTCAGAGTGACTGCTTGCTAGTGAGATCCCAGCTCACATTTACCTTCTATAGAATCACCCCCTTATCACCCCTCCTTCAAGTAAGGTGGAGGGCCCAGGAGCCAAGAAGAAGGAAAAGAAGAAATACTAAAGGTCAGAGACGACAGGAGTGTGTGCTTAGTCAGGATTTCTAATGGGAGAGAGAAGGGTGTTTGTGGTTTTGTTGTTTTGAAATCTCAGGGTAAATCTGGCAATGGGAGACTGGTTACCAGGAATGGAGTTTGTGGGCTTGGGTGATACATTCTAAACACATCCCCGTCTTACCTATATTGTGCTTGAAAGTGGCTTTGCACAAAGCTTTCACCTAAAGGAAGCTGAGCTGATGGTGACAGGCAGTTCTCAGAGGTTTTATTGGCTTCAGGTGGAAGCTGCAAAGAAACGAGGAAAGGAAGCCAGATTAGATATACCTCTCGTCACTCAACTGCTTCCAGACCACCGAGCCCATGCTTCCTCCTGGGCCCACATCATCCCTCTCTGGGCTTCTGTAGAGTCTCAACCTTCAGTGCTGCCTTTACTATAACTCAAGTTTCTTTCAATCCCCTGACCTCCCAAATTCTCTGGGACAAAAAGTGTGTGTGTATTAAAAGAGCAAACCTGAGCCTGAACCTTGGCGGATGCTCGCTCATTCTCATCAGCCTCACCTGTTCCCCCTGGATGGACGGCCCTGTGCATTATCTCTGTCCTACTCAGTTTCAATGTCTAGGTGCCTTTTGTATATTTCACGGGGTGGGCTTGCCATCACCTCAAATGCATCCACACCAAATATCTCCACCTTCCACCTGCCTGCTAAATCATCCCTGCCCACATTTTCCAAGGAGCCAGTTTCACATAAGTATTCTCTTTTGCAGGCAAATGAGTCTTTTAGTTTTTCAATTTGGTGCACAAGCTTCCTTCACTCCGTCCATCAGTGCTTGTGTCCTTTACATTCCCCTTGCGTTTCCTCGTTTCCTGTGGCTGCGATAGCAAATTATCACAAACTGGGGGCTGTAAACAATAGCTTATTCTCTCACAGCAGCCATCCAAAATCAGTATCACTGCACTGAAATCAAGGTGTAGGCAGGGTTGCACTCCCTCCAGAGGCTCCAGGTGAGAGTCTGTTCCTTGACTCTTCCAACTCTGGTGGCTGCCGGAATTCCTTGGCTTGTGACCACATCACTCCAGTTTTCAATCCTAGCATCTTCAACTCTCTCTCTGCTCTGTCTTCACATAGCTTTCTCCTATGTGTGTCGCAAATCTCCCCCAGCCTGTCTTTCAGAAGAACACTGGTAGCATTTACAGCCCACCTGGATAATTCAGGTTAATGACCCCATCTCAAGATTCTTAATCACATCTCCAAAGTCTTTACCATAGAAGGTAACGATATGATGTGGCTGTGTCCCCACCCAAATCTCATCTTGAGTTGTAATCCTCACAATCCCCGCATGTCTAGAGAGAGACCTGGTGGGAGGTGATTGGATCATGAGGGTGGTTCCCCTATGCTGTTCTCGTGTTAGTGAGTTCTCATGAGAGCTGATGGTTTTATAAGGGGTGCTTCCCTTTGCTGCTCACTGTTCTCTCTCCTGACGCCTTGTGAAGATGGTGCCTGCTTCCCCTTCCACCATGACTGTAAGTTTCCTGAGGCCTCCCCAGTCATGTGGAACTGTGAGTCAATTAAACCTCTTTCTTTTGTAAGTTACCCAGTCTCAGGTATTCCTTTATAGCAGCGTGAAAACAGACTAATACAGATAACATCTACAAGATGCAGCGATTAGGACCCCATGTCTTTGGGAGTCATTTTTTAGCCTATCTCACCTCAGGGCTTCTGTGTGCCCTAATGCCACCAACCTCCTCTGGACCCCTACCACTTCCAGAATGAGTTAATCAACCTTTCTCGTTTCCCTAAATTTATTCTTCACCCCCTGTCCGTTCCCTACCACACATGGGACATGATTTTTTGATTAAGGCCCTGTTATGCCAAAATTTCTGTCCTGGAAGATGTCTGTCCCTAAGGGCAATCCCAGAATCAAAGCCACTCATAATACAACGCTATTTAGTAAAATATAAACTTACCTATATAAATATCTATGCAAGGCCCCACATAAAATATGCCCTAGAGCAGCATCTCTCAACTTTTTCATCATTACTCCCCTCATGGAGTCTTTTTAGACAATTTTTCCTAACATTCCCACCATGAAACTCGAATACCATTGATACACTGTGCATGCGTCTATATATACCTTTAGAAGAACAGGCAGGCAGTGAGGTATACGTAAAGACCTGGGTGAAATTAGAGGTAAATGTTGAAGGATTTTAGAAAGCAGATGACAGAACCAGGCAAAAGGAACACATGTGAAGCGTCTGGGGTAAGGTGTGCAATTTACTTCAAAGTACATCCAAAAAATAAGATGAGGGAAAAAAAGATATGAGTAATGAGTGGATAGAGAGACAGATGGGTAAATGTGTGATAAAGCAAATTTAGTACAACATAAGTTGTAGAATCTAGGTGATGGGGAGGAGTGTTCACTTCATAATTAATTCAACTTTTCCATATGTTTGAAATTTTTCATAATAAAATATTGAGATGAACAAGTTATGGGTGCTCAAAATGGTCATTCTTATATGTCCTAATATTTTATGACACCCAATTTGCCTAGGATACAAGATGTGCAAAGGGAAGTAGAAAACAGGGCTGGAATGTGAGTCTGGTGCCACAATGGGTGGGGACTTCTATGTCCTAAGGGAGACTACCTGGCTCAGTGAACAGCATAGTAACAGGGTAAAGAATGTCCAAATCAGGCTGGGCACAGTGGCTCACACCTGTAATCCCAACACTTTTAGAGGCCGAGGCAGGTGGATCACCTGAGGTCCGAAGTTCAAGACCAACCTGGCCAATATGGCGAAACCCCATCTCTACTAAAAATACAAAAATTAGCCAGGCATGGTGGCAGGCACCTGTAATCCCAGCTACTCAGGAGGCTGAGGCAGGAGAATCACTTGAACCCTGAAGGCAGAGGTTGCAGTGAGCCGAGATTGCGACACTGCCCTCCAGCCTGGGCAACAAGAGCAAAACTCCATCTCAAAAATACAAACAAACAAACAAACAAAGAAAAAGAATGTCTGCGCATGTGCAGTGGCTCATGCCTGTAATCCCAGCACCTTGGGAGGCTGAGGTGGGTGGATCACCTGAGGTCAGGAGTTCAAGACTAGCCTGGCCAACATGGTGAAACTCCGTCTCTACCAAAAATACATAAATTAGCCAGGCATGGTGGCACGCATCTGTAATCCCAGCTACTTGGGAGGCTGAGACAGGAGAATCGCTTGAACCTAGGAGGCAGAGGTTGCAATGAGCCGATATCACGCCACTGCATTCCAGCCTGGATGACTGAGCAAGACTCCGTCTCAAAAAAAAAAAAAAAATGTCCAAATCCCCACACCGGTACTTGATTACAAGTTACTCGACTGCTCTGATCCAGCTAAAAAAGTTACTTAATCTCTTTGCTCTATGATTTCCCAACTATAATAAAGGGATAATGACAGTACCTGTCTGATAGGGATTCTCTGAGTATTTAAAGAGTTTCTATATATAAATCACAAGGCTGAGTACGGTGGCGCAAGTCTGTAATCTCAGCACTTCAGGAGGCCGAGGTGAGCAGATTACTTGAGGTCAGGAGTTCAAGACCAGCCTGGCCAACATGGTAAAACCCCATCTCTACTAAAAATACAAAAATTAGCCGGGCGTGATGGTGCACACCTGTAATCCCAGCTATTCAGAAAGCTGAGGCAGGAGAATCACTTGAGCCCAGGAGGCGGAGGTTGCAGTGAGCTGAGATCGCACCACTGCACTCCAGCCTGGGCAACAGAGCAAAACTCTGTCTCAAAAAAAAAAAAAAAGACAGCATATGTACAAAACACTTAGAACCATGCCCGGCACAAAGCACAGTGTAGGTGGTGGTTGTTATTACACAAGGGGGAGTACCTGATGAGTTTTGAACTCAGGTGGTAGCAACATGCTTGGAGAGATGCTTTAACTTGACAGCTACTGACTCCCAAATGAAGAAGTATAAGTTTGGAGGTTAGGACACAGATTAGTAGGCTCAAGCGTTCAAGAAACAACAGGATAAGGTAGAACAGGAGCCATAAAGATGAAAAGGAGGGATGGATTCCAGACACCCGAGGACGTAGCTTCATCAATCAGCCCCTGACTGTGGGAGTGGAGGAACGTGATCAACTCCAAGGATCCAGTCTGGTGCCTGGCAAACCCCGGTTCCATTCACAGAGAGGCAAAGTCAAAAGGAGAGGTGTGTTTGGGACGGGCATGCTCGGTTTGAGGTGACTCAATATCCAGGCAGAGACATTCATGACAAATAGGGGAAGAGCACTTGGAGGAGCTAACTTGGATGCATAGCAGACCCTGGCATATTTTGACTGCCCTGTATATGCTACTCTTCCTTTGGTAGTAGTAACCTCCGTTTTAGAACCCTGAATCCAGTCCATGCATGGAGAGGGGTCTTTAATCAAGGGTCCCGCCCTCACCTACCAAGGGATAGGCCCATGGCCCAAGCAAGCCACACTGAGATGCTCCTACTCTGAATGTGAACCATGACCAGAGTGGCCAATGGCTGAAAACATTTCTGCAGACTGTGTTGTCCAGGGAAGAGAACAGAGCAGTTCCTGCTGCTGCTGAGATACCCTTAGAGCTCCCTGATTCTTGACAGTTCCAAGTTGGCCCTTCAGCCTTCCCTGTCATCCAGCGTGAGGCTCTTTGGCCTTCTCCTAAGTCCCCTTTCTTGTCTGAGTCAGCTCAAGTCGGTTGCTGTTGCTTGCAACCCAAGAATTCACAATGACACTCAACAGCATCGGGAGAGGCTGTGGACAGGATCACCCAGGGAAGGGCATGGAGAAAGAAAATCCTGAAAGAGGCTGGAGTGAGGGGCAGCAGGGGATCATTCACAAAGCACAGACAATGAGGTCAAACGCGCTGGCTCTGCTCTGTTAGCTGAATGACCCTCAGCCTCTCTCTCTGAGCCTCATTCTACATCTAACACATCAATTTCATGGAGCTACCATTAAAATCACAGGGGATGACCTGCACGGTGGCTCATACCTGTAATCCCAGCACTTTGGGAGGCCAAGGTGGGAGGATTGCTTGAATCCAGGAGTTTGAAACCAGCCTGGACAACATAGTGAGACCTCGTCTTTACAAAACTAAAAAATTAACCAGGTGTGGTGGTGCATCCCCACAGTCACAGCTACTTAGGCGGGAGGCTGAGGCAGGAGGATCACCGGAGCCCAGGAGGTCAAGACGGCAGTGAGCTATGATCACTCTACTGCACTCCAGCCTGGGCAACAGAGTGAGGCCCTGTCTCAAGAAATAAATAAATAAAAATAAAAACAATCTCAAGAGATGACATATATTGTGTATCTTCCCTGCACATAGTCAGTGCTTAATACATGTCAGCTTCCCGATCCTCTCCCCAGCCTCATCCCCTACTTAATTCTGCAAGAGCGGCATTTTCTGGAAAGCGAACTGATAAAAACATTGTGTTAGGGTTTCTAAAAGGGTAATAAAAATGTGCCTTCTTTGCAGGATGAAAACATTTGAGGATCAGTAAATTAACAGAAAAGAAAGCGGCCCTTATGGTTTTTATTCCCGTTTCAAATAAATCTAGCTACATGGCTTTGCTATGTCTTGAAAACAGAAATAACCTCAAAGAGAAAAAAAAAAATCAGAGTTTCACAGAGGACAGAGGCTTTCCTTCTAGGAAAGGGAAAATGAAGTTTCACGCCGGATAATCCCAACAGCTCTGTTCTCTACCTTCAAGCGTACACAGCCGGGCCTCTGCAGGCAGCCCAATTTTCTGAGAGCAAATTTCAGGAGAGGCTTTGACCCAGAGAGATCTTTTCTGGTTTCAATCAGGTCAAACTAAGGGCGGCGTAAGCTCCTCTCTCTAGCCAATAGCCAATAGCTGGTCTTGCCTAGCTGGTCTACTCCTAACACGCCTGGTCCCTTAAGGAACAGGAAGTAGCTGGAGAGATCAAGGCCAGGGAGCCAGGGGCGGAGGGGTCTGGAATCAGGCTGGGCCCTGTCAGCCACATGGGAGTCTGATTTTTGTTTTACCTGCTATTGGAAGCCAGTGGGGGAATTTAAGCAGAAGAGGGACAAGCTCTTATTTCCTTTCTATCTGGCGGTAGTGTGGAGTATATTGCAATAGGACATATTCGAAACTGGAAAACCAATTATGGTTGCTTTTACTTGTGTTTTGAAGTTGTTAAAAAGAATTATTGGCCCGGCGCGGTGGCTCACGCCTGTAATCTCCGCACTTTGGGAGGCCGAGGCAGGCACATCACGAGGTCAGGAGTTCTAGACCAGCTTGGCCAACATAGCAAAACCCTGTCTCTACTGAAAATACAAAAATTAGCCAGGCATGGTGGCGCACGCCTGTAGTTCCAGCTACTCAGGAGGCTGAGGCAGGAGAATCGCTTGAACCCGGGAGGCGGAGTTTGTGGTAAGCTGAGATCGTGCCACTACACTCCAACCTGGGCAACAGAGCGAGACTCCATCTCAAAAAAAAAAAAAAAAAGAATTATTGCCAGGCCTTCTTGACTTAAATAAACACAATATTATCTTAAAGAAAGGTCTAGGGGTGGTGCACCACAATGAGGAACAAAGGTTCTAGAGCAGTGGCTCTCAACTGGGTTGGGGGAATGGTGATTTTGTCACCATCCCCATTCCCATCCCAGGGGACATTTGGCAATCTCTGAAGACATTTTTGGCTATCACAAATAGTCAAATGCCTAGTCTAGATGCCTACTAGACTGGCATCTAGGAGGTAGAGGTGCTACTAATGCTACCAGGAACAGGACAGCCATCCTCAGAAAAGAATCAACTGACCACAAACATCCAACAGTGTCGAAGTTAAGGAAGCCTGTTACAGAGTTGAGTTTACTGGATTTGGGTCCTAGCTGGATTTGGGTCCTAGCTCTCTCACTTAATAACTGTGTGACTTGGGGCAAGTTACTTAACCTCTCTGTGATCTTCTCCACCCTTAAGCCCAATGCTTTTTCCTGCTACCAAGAGATAGAAAAGGAAAATGGAAAGGCTATCTATCCCACCTACCTTAGAAGTAGGAAGACCTGCCTGGTATAGCCAGGGAGAGGGGAGGGAAAAAAACAGGATAAGAGGGCCTTCCTAAGCAGCCAGCAGGAAGAGGTACCACCTATCTCTAAGTCTCCTCTCTCCGCCATAGGAAATTGAGAAAGCACAAGGAATGCTTTAGGGAAAGGAATCTGACACACTGGCTTTGAAATAGACAGAGCCAGGTTCAATTCTATCTCCACCAAGTAGAAGTTGAGTGGCCTTGAGCAACTTAACCTAAATTTCCATTAACTGTAAAATATGAGTTATCCTTGTAATAGTAAAGCATGATGACTAATTTAGTCAATCACTTCAAGAGTTTATTGTCTACTCCGTGTCAGGTAGGGAAAGAAATTGTGCAAAGCATCAAGTTAGATCCCTGGCACATAACAAACATTCAATAAACAGTATCTTTTTAACAAATATATCCTTCTGATTTCAAAATGTGTTCACTATAAACTTGTGGAATCTACAGTATAGTAGACATATGTTTATCTGCTCAGCATTCCTTTCTTTGGGGAAGCAAACTGTTCCATTTCTATAAAAGCTCTCCTTGGCCCACGTTCACCCCCACAGGCATGCAACCCAGCTGCACCCAATTAGAATATTCCATTCTTCTGGCCACATGCCCAGGAATGGACATGTGAACCAAGCTGAGACAATCGGACTCTTCCCTGGGCTTTTTCTGGAATCCCAAGCTCTAAAGACTACACGAGCATTGCAGAAGGCCATCTTGTTACCATCTGGGCAGAGTCAGTCTGAAAATGGATTCAGAGACAAGGGATAGAGACATAGTCAAAGACCTGGTGATGTCATCTGAGTCCCTGGATCCAGCCCTACCTGAAGCTGGTCTGACCCCTGGACTCGCAAGTTATAAAAGTCAATAAATGCCCTTTTGTTGAGTGAGACTAAGTTAAATTTCTGTCACTTACAACTAAAAGGCGTCAGAATAAGATAAACAGGAAATCATGGCACCCCTAATCTCAAAACCCAGAGAAAACACCATGACCTTTGAATGTGTGGTCCTCCCAGGTTTTATTGGGGTGATTGTTTGCTTTGTTTCATTTGTATGTTTTGGGAATGACTGGGGTGATTATTTTTAAAATAAGAAAATAGGTTTTCAAACCAGACCCCTTGGGCTTGAATCCTGACTCTGTCCTTTACTTAGCTGTGTGGCTTTAAGAAGGTTACCCAATCTCTCTGATACATGAAACATATATAGTTATGTTCTCCTTTTCTTAAAGTTGTAAGTTGACATTTTAAGAGAGAAAAGAAAAAAGAAAGGTAACAGCTGGAAAACATAAAGGAAACAGACAAACTTCAGGAAAATAAGACTAAGCTTCCTGAGCTGTTCATTCTCTATTACGCTAGAATGACGGGCTCCAAGCAAACACTGAAGGGATGGGAAGGTGATGGTTGAAAGATCTAAGCACTTTCCAAGGGTTTTTTTATTTGATTAATGAAAAGGATGAGAATAACGTGTCCAGATTTAAAACAAAACCAAAAAACTGGTGAAACAGTTCTCATGGCTGCATCTGGATCAGCCATGTGATACATCAAAAGGTATGTGTTATTGATTAATTATCAAAGCTCATGAAACTTTTCTTCTATTACAGCAGATTATTCGTGGATGTTGTTAAAAGAACTTTGCTCACTCATTGATATGGAATTATCAAAGTTCATGAAACTTTTCTTCTATTACAGCAGATGATTCACAGATGTTTTTGAAATAACTTCGCTCACTCATTGATATGGTTCGGCTGTGTGTCCCCACCCAAATCTCATCTCAAATTGTAATCCCCATAATCCCCACATGTGGAGGGAGGGCCTGGTGGGAGGTGATTGGATCACCGGGGGCAGTTTCCCTCATGCTGTTCTTGCGATTGTGAGTGAGTTCTCGTGAGATCTGATGGTTTTATAAGGGCTTTTCCCCCTCACTCTCTCTCTTTCCTGCCACCTTGTGAAGGAGGTACTTACTTCTCCTCCCAACATGATTGTAAGTTTCCTGAGGCCTCCCCAGCCATGTGGAACTGTGAGTCAATTAAACCTCTTTCCTTTATAAATTACCCAGTCTCAGGTATGTCTCTTTTTTTTTTCTTTTCTTTTCTTTTTTTTTTTTGAGACCAAGTCTCACTATGTCACCCAGGCTGGAGTGCAGTGGCGTGACCTCAGCTCACTCCACCTCCCACATTCAAAGGATTCTCCTGCCTCAGCCTCCCGAGTAGCTGAGATTACAGGAGCGCGCCACCACACCGGCTAATTTTTGTATTATTAATAGAGATGGGGTTTTGCCATGTTGGCCAGGCTGGTCTTGAACTCCTGACCTCAAGTGATCTGCCTGCCTCGGCCTTCCAAAGTGCTGGGATTACAGTCATGAGCCACCACACCCGGCCTCAGGTATTTCTTTATAGCAGTGTGAGAATGGATGAATACTTTCATAATATAATAACTTCATTCACTTTTACTTTCTTAAGTGGGAAACAGAGGACTAGCATTAGAGCATAAGCCATCATTGAGCAAAGTCCATAAAGATTGCGCCTGAGGTAGCAATCAGCTGTTCTTATGACAAGTCATTGTAGTGCTTTCCTCCTCTGAAAGGTTTGGGGTTTCATCAAAACCTGGGGATGCTAAATGCACATGTGTAAAAATCATCCACCCTGTGTCGTGAGAGGAAAAGTTAACAGTTAGTGCTCTGTAGAATACATAACTGAGAAAGCAACGGTAGAGTTCAAATGGTACCATCTGCAAATAATAAGGAACGGTACTCATGGCCTTGGATGACCACACTAATGTACGGAATACAAACCAAAGAAAAGACTTTTCATATTTTGAGCCAAAATGAAACTCTATTCATTATATCACTGGGACAAAGAGAATGAGAAATACTGGAATGGAAGGAAATGCCTTGTGTAAAACAAACACAGCTAAGAGAAGGGTGCAGGGAATGGACTGTGGATATAGTAACCAGACTATATAGGAATCTAAGAATCTCAATTTCAAGATTCAGTTTTGAGGAGCTGAGTCAATATTTAGAGGAAAAAAAGAAAACCCAGTACATTGTGTTGTTTTGAGAGTGACCGACCTTTTCCAACACCGGCCCTCGGGATGAACCCTCCAGGTCCTCGTGTACACGATCCAGCAACCAGAGCAGGAATTCCAGGGCGTCATGCTGGGAATTGCCTTGGAACTGAGAGCCATACTTGGAAACTGCATTCTGAAAGGAAAAAAAGGAAATCCAGAGGTGAATTTGGCCCCTTATACAACCAAACGAAGGCTCTGTGAGCACCAGGTCTACCAAGTGGTCATTATTCAGCCCTGACCTGGGATGACAGCATGCAAACCGCTGGGGTGGAAATGTTCTTTCATGCCAAAGCCCGCCCTTTTGGGGCAATGTCCCCAAACAGTATGAGGGTCTCTGTATATAGGAGAAGATATTTTCTTTCCAGAGGCCTGCTAATGTATGTTCTATCCTTTGAAAACCCAGAGGGTGGTCTCTGTTGAGTATTTTGATACTGTTGACCATCTGACCCACCGAAGCTCTCTCCCTGTGACTGCTGGGGTATGATGCTCCACTAGTCTTCCCTCCATTGGTCTATTCTCATGCTGTCTCTCTCTGTTCACCTAGATGGTGAACAGCCTTCTCGCCCTACTTGCTCTCCCTTGCTGATTTCATTCATTCCCATAACTTCAACTCTTTCTTCTATCAGAATACTGACATTTGCAGTGAAGTTGATTTCCTTAAGTACCATGCATGTAGCTCCTCTACTGTCTCTTTCTAACATGTATGAAATTTAAGGATACAAACTTGTTTCTGTGGTTAGGTCATCAAATGGTTGAACCAGCCCTTCACTACTTTGATAAATACGTATTGAGTGCCAACCACATGCCAGGCACTATTCTAGGGACCAGGGATACAACAGTGAACAAAACGGATGAAGACTCGCTGCCCTCGTGGTGTTTGCATTCCTGGTCCCCCTTGCGCTGTCCTTCTATTAAATTGTGTAGCAACTTTGTCATTTTCTGCATAAATGCACACTCCAGCTTTTTAAAAGTTTATTGCAAAGAGTAATATAGGCACATACTAAAAAACAATAATGCAATAAAAAAGGATGATAATGAACTCTTCCTTCTACCTGGCCTTCATCCCATGGTACCCCTTCTCAGGGGACAGCCACTTTTAGCACTTCCTTCAGCATCTTTCCAGGGACTTTCGCTATACATGTGTGAGCATGTGGGCATCTGGATGTAAGCAAATCACTTGTCTATGTGTTCACACATGTACATGCACACAGCACACGATGGCTGTGGTTCTCTCTTAGACTGCAGAGCCAAACCTCCAGTCTCATCCCACGCAGGTCTGTTCTCTGCTCATGCCTGCCAAAGGGATTGGTCTTAGCCAGGCTGAGGACCAGGACAATCCTTAACACTGCCAATCAAATCAGGCGGTCTGGGCTTTTTTTTTTTTTTTTCCTTTCTTTTAATTTTCCCTTGAGATTTAAAGGAGCCTTTAGAGGCCAGGTGCAGTGGCTCATGCCTGTAATCTCAACAATTTGGGGGGCTGAGGCAGGTGGATCACTTTAAGTCAGGAATTTGACACCAGCCTAGCCAATATAGTGAAACCCTGTCTATACGACAAATACAAAAATCAGCTGGGCGTGGTGGTGCACGTCTGAAATCCCAGCTATTTGGGAGACTGAGGCAGGAGAACTGCTTGAACTTGGGAGGTAGAGGTTGCAGTGAGGGGAGATTGCACCACTGCACTCCAGCCTGGGTGACATAGTGAGACTCTTTGCTCAAAAAACTAAAAATAAAAATAAAGGAGACTTTAGGATGAAACAAAGCAAAAATGCAAGATTTAATTAACTGAAATGCTGGTTTTGAGTCTTTTTTTTTTTTTTTTTAAGACAGTGTTTCACTCTTGTTGCCCAGGCTAGAGTGCAATGGCACGATCTCAGCTCACTGCAACCCCACCTTCGGGTTCAAGTGATTCTCCTGCCTCAGCCTCCCAAGTAGCTGGGATTACAGGTGCCTGCCACCACACCCAGCTAATGTTTGTATTTTTAGTACAGATGAGGTTTCCCCATGTTGTCCAGGCTGATCTCGAACTCCTGACCTCAGGTGATCTGCCCGCCTCAGCCTCCCGAAGTGTGGCTCTGGGTCTTTATGCCAATCACATTAGTTTGGACTCTTCCCCCAGGCTTCTCTGCGTGTTGATTCCCAAGTAGGGCTACCAGATTTAGCAAATAAAAATACAAGATGACCAGTTAGATTTGAATTTCACATAAACAATGAATACGTTTTTAGTAGAAATATGTCCCATGCAATATTTGGGACGTATTTACACTACAAAGTTATTCATTTTTTATCTGCAATTAAAAGTCAGCTGGGCGTAGTATATTTTTCATCTGGCAGCTCTACCCTCAAACAACCCTCAAACCTATCTTCTTGTACCAACGCATTCTCTTTGGGGTGAGCAGCTGGTCCTTCCAACTCAAAATCTCTAAAACCAGCTCATCCTTTTAATGTAGGTGTCGTCTTTCAGGTTCTCCTTCATATCGGTCAGCTGTCAAGCAGTCTGGATGCTGCCTCCCAAATGTCTCCACCCTTCCCCTACAGAAGAGTCTCATCCCAATTGTTGAGTTCCACCTGTAGCTGACCCAGACAACAATATGTACCTAAGGAGGGGCCCAGCCCCTAGGTTCTCCCCTTGCCAACCCACTGACTTCATGGTAGACCAGACCAATTTTCCTACAGCTCAGCTGAATAGTGTCATGCTCTGACTCTAAATCCTTCCTTACTCTCCTGCTCACCACCAAATAGTCCAAGAACCCTCTCTGCTTCAGCCCCAAGCCGTATCATTCCATGTTTCAAAGCTCCAGGTAAGTAATCCACCTAGCTGCCCCAAACATGCTTTCCTACTTCTACAGTCGAGACCTTTCCTTTTCTTTTTTTCCCTTCTTTTTCTGAAACGGAGTTTTGCTCTTGTTGCCTGACTAGAATGCAATGGCACGACCTCGGCTCACTGCCACCTCTGTCTCCCAGGTTCAAGCGATTCTCCTGCCTCAGCCTCCCAAGTAGCTGGGATTACAGGGGCCTGCCATCACACCTGGCTAATTTTTGTATTTTTAGTAAAGACGGGGTTTCACCACGTTGGCCAGGCTGGTCTCGAACTCCCGATCTCAGGTGATCCACCCACCTCAGCCTCCCAAAGTGCTGGGATTACAGGAGTGAGCCACCGCACCTGGCTTAGACCTTTACTTTTGTTCTTCCTTCCATGTGAAATCCATTCCTCTCCAGTTAATCATGATGATCCTTTAAGCCTGACACTCTTCATCTTAGCCTGGCTATAGTACCTGACAACCTTTTCAGAAAGGAGGTGACAACTTCAAGAAGCCAAGACAAGATAGGGCCTTAAACATGTCCCTCTCCATAAACAGCAATTCCACTTTGGGGGATTTTGCCTTAGGAAATGGGAGATACAAGAAGAGATGTCTTCACACATCAAAGTTATCTGGGTGAAAACTTATGACACAGTCAGATGGCCTTAAAATTTATGACTGATGAAATACAAGTGATAAAGAAAATAATAATCTGGTCATAAGAAGAAAAAAATGCAAAAATACATATTGGAGATTGTTTTATGTATATATTTATAGATAGAAAAATAAAAGACCAGAAAATACATGGCAAAATAGTAGCAAATGGTTATCATAGAATAATGGGATCATGAGCAATTTTTTTATTTTCATTTGTAAATGACAAAGTTTTTTAACAGTGAACATTGTTCTTTATTTGTCTTTTTCCAATTATAAAGTATTTGGCAGGTATTTCTCAGAATTATTTTTAATAACCTCCTGATGACTACAGAAGTCATTCCCCTAGAAAGTCTATGGAAACAGGCTAGGGGTTGTGGCTCATGCCTGTAATCCCAACATTTTGGGAGGCCAAGGTGGGCGGATCACAAGGTCAGGAGATCAAGACCATCCAGGCTACTAAGGTGAAACCCGATCTCCATTAAAAATACAAAAAATTAGCTGGGTGTGGTGGTGGGTGCCTGTAGTTCCAGCTACTCGGCAGGCTGAGGCAGGAGAATCACTTGAACCCAGGAGGTGGAGGCTGTAGTAAGCCAAGATCGTGCCCCTGCACTCCAGCTTGGGCAACAGAGCGAGACTCTATCTCAAAAAAAAAAAAAAGTCAGTCTATGGAAACATAACTAGAACTGCACAAAGCAGTTCCCAAGAAGTTAATTAGCTTGGGAAGAATGAACTGCAATATTTGGTTACTTATCCCACATCTTTTTTTTTTTTTCGCTGAGGTCTGCTATGTTGACCAGGCTGGTCTTGAACTCCTGGCCTCAAGCAGTCCTCCCATCTCGGCCTCCCAAAGTGCTAGGATTACAGGCATGAGCCACCGTGCCCAGCCCTATATTTGGTTATTTCTCTCCTTCAACATGGCATAACTCCATCTGTGTGTATGTTTTCTTTCCCAAACATTGACAATTTTCAACATTTCTTATTAAAATTAGTCCTAGTTATTTCATATTTCTGGTTGTTTTATGAATAAAAATCTAATTTTATATGTTCCAAATGGTTATTCCTTTGATTTTCTACCTTCCATCTGATGTAACTAATGACACTAATAAAGTTAAAATAAGGATTTCTAGAATGTTTTAGCAATTTTCTTTCCATTTAATTTTTTTTTTTT